CTGAATATTGTATTTTTTTAGCCTATCGATGGGCATATGTAAACTAGGTATACTCCCACATACTAGATTATATATTGTGACCCTCTACATATGCAGAGCTAGAACTAATACTGAAAAAAGTTTCTCTCTGGACTATAATAATCATTTAAACAATTGTAGGTGGTCTAAACATAACCATAGGCTCAATTTAAATCTACATTCTAGGGGCCTTGTAAGAGAAGTAGATTTAGAATATCATTATATTAAAAGTCACTTTTGTATTATACTTTAAGGTTTGCAAAGGACATTACATATATTATCTCATTTATTCATAACAGCCCTGTGAGGTAGATAGTACCTAGTTTATAGATGAGGAAATTAAAACTCAGGGGTTAATAATTTGTCCAGGAACACACAACTGGTCACGTTGGAGCCAAACCCAGGGTATTTCTTGACTGGGCAGCTAGATCCAAATGGGGTCACAAAAAGTTGGACACAACCGAAAATGATTGAACAACAACAGATTTCTTGATGACAGATCTAGCATTTTTTCCCACCATACCACAGTGTAATCATCTGCATATATGGGAGAGCTACTAAGAAGATTGTTTGTATTGGGAGACTAGATCTGGAAAAGCTAGAAAGTTAGTATTAGGTTTGTAAATGGAGAGAAGATAAGATGTGAATTTTGGGGTCAGGTAATTGCATAGATAGGAAGGAAGCCTCAAATGGATAGTTAGTTGATAGTAACATATACTTATTATGATGGACAACTAAGTTTCTGACAAAGATGTGTAAATTTAGTAATATAGTAAATCTTCAAATTTATAAAGCAATAGATATATCATTAAACATTACTAGAATGACTTTTTTCTCATGGAAATTTAGATATTTTTAACATACAGATCTTCAAATAGACCCAAGTAGTAAGTTATTGTTGATCCCTGTCAAGCATTTTCATTAGAGGTGAAACTACATAAATTCATGACTCAGTTTCTTTTTTTTCTGTATATATTATCTTGTTTGATCCTCACAACAACCCTGTGAGTTAGCCCATTATTATCACCATTTTACAGATTAGAAAACTGAGGCCAAGAGCAGTTTAGTGACTTACTTGCCTAGGGTTCATACAACTAGTAAGTATCAGAGGTTGGATTTGAACCCAGATCATCTCTAATACCTTACTATATATGTGTAACATATATATGGTAAATCTCTTCAGTTCTCTGGGCCCTAGCTTTCCTTTTAAAAAAATATTAATTTTATTTTTATTCAATTAAAAATCTGCCCCTTTTCCCTCTCACTTCTGTCTCTGCATTAAAAAGGAAAGAAAAAGCAAAAACCTTGTAACGAATATGTATAATCAAGCAAAATAAATTCCCATATTGGGAAAATATTTCTCAGTCTGTATCCTGAGTCTATCACTTCTCTGTCAGAAGATGGGTAACATGGTTCATCATGAGTCCTTTAGACTCAGCCTTGATCATTTGTGGTGATCAGAATTCTTAAGTTTTTCAGTGTTTTTCTTTATAATGTTGTTATTTTATATATTGTTCTCCCTATTCTGCTCACTTTGCTCAGCATCAGTCAGTTCATTCAAGACTTCCTAGGTTTCTCTGAAACCTTCCCCTTCATTATATCTTGGAACACAGTAGCATATTCCATCATACTGATATACCATGATTTGTTCGGCCACTCCTCAATTGATGGGAATTCCCTTAATTTCTAGTTCTTTGGCATTCTCCCCACCACCACCACCACACACACACGCACACAAAAAAAGAGTTGTTATAAGTATTTTTGTACATATGAGTTGGGGCAGCTAGGTGGCGCAATGGATAGAGTGCTGGACCTATAGTCAGGAAGATTCATCTTCATGAGTTCAAATCTGACCTCAGACACTTACTAGCTGTGTGACCCTGGGCAAGTCACTCAACTCTACTTGCCTTAGTTTCCTTATCTATAAAATGACCTGGAGAAGGAAATGTGGTTAACTACTCTAATATCTTAGCCAAGAAAACCCAAATGCGATCACGAAGAGTCCTTTTTCTAGTCTCCTTGGAATGTAAATCTAATAGTGATTCTCTCTGAGCCATGACCCAGTTTCTTAAAATATCACTGAATCTTAGAGTTGGAAAGGACCTCTGAGAGCATATGGTTCAACTTCTGTCTGAACAAGAATCTACTCAACAACATAACCAACAAATATCTTCCACCTTTGATTAAAGACTTCCAGTGACATTCCTCCAATATACACTACCATTTCCTGAGGCAGCCCATTCTAATTTTTTAATAGTTCTAATTCTAAGGAAATTTCTCTTTACATCAAACCTAAATTTATCTCTGCGACTTCCATTTGTTGCTCCAAGTTCTGTCATTTGGGCCAAGCAAAATAAATTTAATCCATTTTCCATGTAATAGTTCTTCTAATACTTGAACAGTTGTTGTATTCCCTCTCTTCTTCAAGTTGTCTCTTCTGTAGGAGAAATGTACTCATTTCTTTCATTTGATTATCATTTGGCATGATCGTTAGGCCTTCCCCAATCCTCACTGCTCTCTTCTGAATACTTTGTGACTTATCAGTCTCTTCTCTAAATACAATGCCAGAACTGAACACAATATAGCTGGAAAATAATTTCTTTAAACCTAGTCACTTTCCCTCTCAGTGTAGCCTAAGATGATATGAAAATTTTTGACTGTCATATTATACTGTTGACTCATATAGAGCATGCAGCCCACCAAAACATTCAGGTCTTTTTCAGAAAAACTGTTCTGTAGCCATGTGTCTTCTACCTTGTAAATGTACATGGGAGGTTGTTGATTTAAATGTAAGTATACTTTATACTTATTACTATTAAATTTCAGCTTATTAGATTTTTCCCAACATTCTAGTCTATAGTCTTTTGGCTATCTGTATATTGGATGTGCACTGTCTACCTTTATTCTAGTGATTGACAAAATTGTTGATTAGCATAGAGCCCTGAAGCTTATCCACTAGAGACTTCTTTTGAAATTGATACCAAACCTTTAATATCTCTTCATTAGGTTCAGACATTCAACAAGTTTTGGATCTTTCTAACTAAACAGTTGTTGACCCTACAGTTTTTCAATTTTCTGTAAGAAGAGCTTTAGGGATTTTGTTAGATAGTTTGCTAAACTCTGCGTAAACAATCTATAGCATTCTCTTGACCTGTCAGCCTCATAACACAAGCAGAACAGGAAATGAAATTAGTTTGGCATGTCCATTCTTGACTTTTTTCCTCCTTTTTTAACATACACGAAAAGATTTCTACTCTTTATATGCTATGCAGAAAAACTATCCCTATAAATACAGTTTTAAAGGAAAGTCATATGCATTTGATTTGGTGATTATGTGCTCATAACAATACTTTATTGATACAGCTTTACCAGAAGTGTGAAACATTGTCTTCAACCATGGTTGTAATTTTTTAAAATAAATTTTAGGTTTTTTTAATGAATTTTGTTAAATTTAGTGTCATTCATGTTTTTTTTTTTAACATACTCTAAGGCAGTATTTTACCAAAACAAGATGTAGAGATAGTCCCACATCTCTAATATTCCTTTGTGATTCTATAATTCTTTAACAGTGTCTGGTACATAGTAAGTGCTTAATATGTGCCTGTTGCTTGATTGATTAATTTTAAGATGAGCCACTGACAGTTCCTTCAAGCAATATTTATTTGAAAAAGTTTTTTATCTTTATGAAAAATGAGATTGGGGCCAGCTAGGTGGCACAGTGGACCTGGAGCTAGCAAGACCTGAATTCAAATCCAGCCCCTGACACTTACTAGCTATATAACCCAGGGCAAATCACTTAACCTCTGTTTGCCTCAGTTTCCTCAGCTATAAAATGAGGATAATAACACCTATTTCCCAGGATTGTTGTGAAGATCAAATGAGATAATGTTTGTAAAGCACTTAGCACAGTGCCTGTCACGTACTAAGCAACATATAAATGTCAGCTTTCATCATCATCATCATTATTATTATTATTATGTATTTCATTGACTTCAGTCATTGAGACTTGATCTCATTAGTGTTAACTTTGAAGCCTAACATATCAGCTTTTCCCAAGCTAATAGACTAGCACTTAGTTCAGAAACAATAAAATTAGCATTGAATATTTTAAATAACCTTAAATCTTTAAAAAAATCTTAAATAATCTTAAAAATATTTTAAATAATCTTTAAATATTTTAAATAATCTTATAATAATTTGGTGGTCAGTGGACCACCAGAAAGAGCTGTTCATTCCTAGAAAGTTGTTAATTCATTGGTTACAAAAGATTAACTTTTTCTAGTAGGCTCAAATACATATATTTTATTTTAGTAAATAAAGTAGTTAATCCACTTATGGAATATAATCTCTTTAAACATAACATTTGTGAATTTCTATAAATAAGAGACTTTTCACATGTTTTGTTCTTGTACTACTCTATTCTTTTCTCATTTTGAAAATGCTCATTGTATTATCTCAAAGAAGGAATATGATCCAGTTGATTTTAAGTATCCCTGTTTATACCATGCAAATGATCAACGATGAAAAATAGATGCTACAGTATGAGCAATCATATATTTTAATGGTCGGAGACTAGGTTTTTTTTTTAACCTGCGGGGTATTATTTGGTAAAGTGAGGGGGTTGGTACTACATGATCTCTAAGGTCTGTTGTAACTTTATAGGCTTTCTGAGTAAGGATTATTTCATTTATTCTATTTCTATTCCCAGTATTTAGCACAGTACTGGCACATAGTAGATGCTTAGTTGTTGATGATTAATTTGATTAGTGTGTGTGTTCTCTTCCATCATGGCTTTATAAGGAATACAATTTAGTAATTTGAAATTACTTTTGGGTAGTATAATTGATAAACAAAAATAAGCAGGACTAGTTAGTACTTATCACCTCTCCCCATCCTCATTGGAAAGGGGAAACAAATTATTAAGCTGTGCTATATTTAATTGAAAATTAAAGCTGAAAATTTTTACTGTTCTTTTCATATAGCATGGACATTTATCAGGAAACTACATGATATCACAGAAAAGTCAGCATAATAAAAAATCAAAAAATAAAGACTATGACGAATATAGTAACTACAGCGATGACAACTTTGATAACTATAATCAGGAAACAGAAGAAGATTTTGCTGATCAGCTTAAACAATACAGACAAGCTAAAGAAACCTCAAACCCTGCTTTGGGATCACCATTTCATAAGGAATCAGGGAAAAAACAGGGGATGAAAGGAGTTCAGCCAGGTAAGTATAAAATTGAAACAAAATCTGTCAGCTATACTTTGCTATAACAGAATTAAGGAGGCAGATCTTAGGACCTAATCCAAACATAGACTCCAAGGACAGAGATATAATGAGACAGTGGTTTTGAGTTTTTTTCCTATTAGGAGATGGCCTAATATAGTTTTTTTAATATAAATAATTAAACTTAATGCTAATAGCCTACCTTTTTTCTTACTGTATATTAATAAATCAATCTATGCCCATCATTTCTAAATAAAAGAATTATCTTTCTTTTTATGTGAATATATTCTTGTTCATTTATGGAGCATGAAGTGAGTATCTAATATGAGATTTTGGACCATTAACCCTTGAATGATAGTAGAAAGAGTTTGTGGTCTGAATCTGAATTTCATTGGTATAAGGAACTCGTGGTAAGGAAACTCCCCATACTTATGTAGATTTACAACTATTCTGAAGCTTACAGTCTTAGAGAGCCATCTATAAGTAAGAGGTAGCCTTAACTGATAAATCAAACTCCCCTTCCCTCAATCTTATGGAATTATTCCTCTTCCTTTGTTTTTGCTGTATTCTCTCTTAGCTCTTCCTTGAAAGATCTGCTGCTGTTTAACAACATCAAATGAATTTAAAGATTAATTTCTATAAGGAGCTTTTTTAAATTAGAAAAAATGAGGAAGAACTGATTTGCTACTTAAAATTTTTCACTTTCCACTTTTTTTAATGTAACAGTAATATGTTCCTGAAAAATTCTGTGTTAATCAGATTCTTGTAAATACTATTTTAAGTGAACTGTAGAACTTATGGTTTCAGGAGAATATTGTAGTTAATCTTATATAAAGAAAATTATTTGTATCATTAATTACCACCCTCTAACTGTTATGTGAATGTGTTTTGTTCATCAGCTTTTCTTGAAGCAAAGCACTCTTGTATTGTTTTTGTATGTGCAGCAATATAAAAAAATGGAGAATGCATTATAAATCACAGATTATTTTGAAGATTCTGCTACAGACAAATGTGTGTACTGTTTTCCTATTGCACTTGAAATATGCTTTTTTTTTTAGTTGAGCAGAGGAGTAAAAGTTTTAGTGTTTGTCGTGGACGTGGTATGCCAAAGAAACTAAAGCGCAAAGAGCGTGGCAGAGGGAGAGGCAGTAAAGGACCTAATGCTTTTTCTGGAACAGATGGCTTTCAAGAGGTAATAAAAATACACATGTTAAAAAGAGGAGATGCTGAGTTCTTTCTAAAAGTTCTTCTTAATGCAAAGATGTATTAACATTTTAAGTCACACAGCAACATAAGACCATAAATAAAATAAAAAGGAAATTATATTTTATTTTTGTTTTGTTTTCATCAGATAAAATATTGTGAGAGACTTCTAAACTGAAGGGGACATACCACTTCAATAAGTGGAATTGAGAGACAATATGGCATGGTAGATGGAGGCCTGCCCTTGAAAACAAAAATACCTGGGTTCAGGTGCTACCCCTGACACATACTGGCTGTGGGATCCTGGCAAGTCATTTAACCCTTCAGTGCTCTAGGCATCTTTGTAAGAATATAAATCACAAAAGACCTGCTGATTTGCATTGGTATAGGGAATTTCCTCACCTAGGAGTTCCCTGTACCAGTGAAGCCACAAGTCTAGTCTTTACTCCTATCCTATATTTGAAATCAAAACTATAAAACCATTCTACCTTGGTTTTTCTTCTCTTCTTGAATAAGATGATTGGGAAAGACATACTAAGGCTTCTGTAACAGCAGAACTTTTGGGATGTAAATCTAAAAGAGTGAGGAAGTATGGATCCTGATAACATCATAATGATAAGGTTAAAGTCTGAAAGTGTAGAAACAAGTCTTTCCAACCACCTCTTAGTTATGTGGTCCCTTAAATCACTTTTTTCCCCCATTAAAATAGCCCAGCCAACATTTAATAGTACTGCCAACATTTAATGTTATTATTTTAAACTATTTTCAAACCAGTGTTGCAGTGGTAAGATAATAGCTTAAAGTTTTTTATTTTGCATTTCTCAGATTGAGTAATATTTCTGAGTAATTTTTAACGTTCTACATTTCTCTCAAAATTTTTCTCTTCATGTTATTTTTCAGTTATCCATTGGTAAATGTGTTTTACTTTGGTAAATTTTTTTCAGCTCCTCATAAATTATATATGTTAGAATTTTATCCACTATAGTTGCCATTTTATTCACTTTATTTACTTCACTATTTCACTATATTCACTATTATTTTCTACAGTCTTTTTCTTATTATAACAGATTTTAACATTTTTGTTTTGAATAGTGAAAAGAATGGCCAAGTGTTCTAAGGTATAAGACTCAAAGTTTCCATTCCCAAAATAACTGTTCTGGTTACATGAAGGCCTAAGTTAAAACTCTACTTCTGACAGAATCTTTTAGTCACTGGAACAACGTCAAGAGTGCTGGATTGGGAGTTAAAAGACTTGAATTTGAATTTGTTCTGCTATTTACTTCCTCCACGTCCTTGGCCATGTTAGTTAAACTCTCTGCATCTCAGTTTCCTCTTCTGTAAAATGAAGAGTTTAAACTAAGTGACCACTAAGTTCTTTTCCAGCTCTAAATCTTCAGTCCTATAAATCTCTGCAGGAGTATAGAACTAAGACCTGTATTTTGGTATAAATATATAAGTAGCTTCATACCATAGACATTAATTAGAAAATTCCAATTTCTTTGTACTAAGAGCCAGAGAAATTAATCTGGATTCTTTTGAGTTTCCTGAGTAAAAAAAAAATTTTAGTTAGAGGGGGAGTGAGTGATAGATAGCATTAGATTTGTTCTAAAAGCCATTAGTATAAAATTTAGAAGGTTACTACTATTGGTTTGTTGTTGTTTTGGCAGTAAATATATGCCTTTGTCATAGTGTCCATCTCCTAGTAAATCAAGGAACTAAATACAACTTTAAAGCTAGAGTAAATATCAACAACTTTATTCATATTTACATTCTTGTTATAAATTGAACCAGAAGACATAACAAAAACCAAGTAAATGGAAATGACTCCCCTTGTAAAGGCAAATAAAGAAGTTGGAAGAGTTGGTTAATTATGTGCCCAAAGTAATAAAAAACATGATTTTTTGGAATACTTGCTTATCCCATTGATCACTTCTTGTGATGAGCATAAACAAACACCTCTTAAGGTAATTACAGTGTTATGTACCAATGTCCATTATAGAAGATGAAGTAAAAAATTACATGTGGAATTTGACAAGCTCCTCCAAACCAAGTCACTTTTATTAATACCAGGTAATTTCAAGGCTTAAGTGTACACAAGGAATTACAATAGAAGCTTTGTTGGAAAATAACATTCTGGATCGAAGAGTATTAGAGGTCAAAGGATTGTAACCCGTCAAAAAGCTTTACACTTCTAATCATGAATACTTTAACTGGACACTGGATATGTGGAGTACCAAGTGACAGAATAGCAAAAGAAATTAACCAGATCTTGAGATAAGAAGCAACTGGTTGTAAATGTAACCATCATTTCAGAATATCTTCACTAAAACTATCTTCTAGTTAGAGCCAACTCTAAAAAGCTGAATTAGAAGAAAATTTAAACATGAGAAGGTACTGTGTGTAACAGCAGCTCCAATTCAACCTCTTTATATAAATAACAGACTCTGGAAAATGGAAAGAGGAAAAAAATGTAAAGACATTGTTTCTACTTAGCATTTTCTAAAGAAATTTACCTGATGTGAAGCATATAACAGTTGCTACAAGGAGAGAACCAAAAAAAGCTAAAAAGTACCTCAGCCCACAAAAACACTTGATCTTTTTACTCAGTAGAGAGATATGGTAATCAAGAGCATATACCTCATCCCCCGACTCAGATGGTCACCAGCAGTCTTTTAATTGACACGTCTAATGGCCTCTTCTCAATCTTCATCTTACTTGACCTTTCTGCAGCACGTAACGCTCTTGACTGCATTTTAATCTTGGGTGCTCTCTCCTCTCATGGTCTTCATGACACCACTCTCTCTTGGTTCTCTTTTTATCTGTCTGATAACTTCTTAACCTCTTCTGTTGGATCATCATCCATATAAACACCCCTACTATGAGTGTACCCTCTGTCCTTGGTTCTGTCCTTGGCTCTTTTTTCTTCTCTCTACACTCTCACAGGGTGGTATCGTCAGCTCACATAGGTTTAGTTATCATTTCTATGAAGATGATGCCTAGATCTTTATACCCAGTGCTTCCTTCTCCTAAACTCTAGTTCTGCATTGCTAACTGTGTATTGAATATTTTAAACTCAGTGTCCTGGAGGCATATCAAATTCAACATATCCAAAACTGATTAATCCCCTGTTCCTGAACCCCTGTCTCTTCCTAACTTCCTTGTTACTGTCATGGACACTACCATCTAGTCACCCAAGTTAGTAACTTTGGGGTCATTCTCAACTCCTTACCCTAACTCCCTACTCTCCCCTTATTCAGTCAATTGCCAAATCTTCAATTACTCAAAAAGCATTTATTAAACTCTTAATATGTATCTTTTCTATCTCTACAACATCTCCCCCACATTTGTCCCCTTCTCTACACCTGCATAGTCATAGTCACTACCCTGGTTCAGGCCCTTATTACCTCTTGCCTATATTATTACAACAGCCTTCTCTTTCATCTCTCTATCTCAAGTCTCACCCCACTTCAACCCCTCCTCCACACAGTTGGTAAAATTTTCCTAAAACATGTCACTAAGTCATTGAACATCTTTTAAACAGCTACTGTGTACCAAGCAGTATGATAAATGCTGAAGATATATATGTGTGTGTGTGTGTTTGTGTGTGTATGTATATATATACACACATATATAAAGGCAGTCTCCTCAAGGAGCACACAATATAACAAGAAGAGAAGACCCACAAAAGGAAGCTAAAAAGGGGGTTCAGTTTGGGAGTATAGGGAGGAAGAAGGTACCCAGCATGGGATGGCCTGGTGGGGTCCTGTCCAAGAAATATGAATGGATCAGTGGCCTGGGAGATCTCTTGAAATGGAGGCTTTGGGAGGAGTTCTTTGCTTTGCCTTCCAGCCTTCTAAGCTAATCAAATGGACAGAAGGTACTGATGAGGTATGAGCAGTCCTTGTAAGATGATGTTTCCTGCAGGTGAGGTTTCCAGCAGGGCATGATCATGATGAAGTCTAGTTCAAGAGAGTATAGATGGTAGGAAATGAAAAGTTGGCTGGCCTGGGAGCCTTCCTTAAATGAAGGCTTTGCTTTGCCATCCAGCCTTCTAATCAGAAGGTACTGATGAGGTTTGAGTACAAAAATTGGTGCAGTCTTACAGGTTGATGAGTTTCCTTGTGATGAGATCTGGCTGTGTTATGTCTAGGATCAAATATAAACTCTTATTTGCCATTTAATACTTTCCACAAGCTGATCCCAGCGTTCTTATACATTATTCCCCTCCATGCTTTCTACAGCCAGCTGTACTAGCCTATTACCTGTCCTCAGTGACAATACTTCATCCCCTCTCTGTGCCTTTTCTCTGGCTATCCTTTATGCCTGAAATATATGTTCTCCCTCCTCACCTCCACCTGTTAGAATCCCTAGTTTTCCCTCAAAATTCTGCTCACCTAACCCTATTCTGCAGGATACCTTTCTTTATCCTCCCAGTCACTAGTTGTTTCCTCTCTAAGATTACTTTATATCTGTTTGTATGTGTTTTACATATTTGCATATACATGTCTCCTCGGTAGAATGTAAGCTCCTTGAGAGTAGGGACTCTTATCATTTTGTCTTTATATCCCCAGTACTTAGCAAAGTGCCTAGCATGTAATAGATACTTGATAAATGCTTATTGAATGATTAAATAGTCTGATTTTCGCAACTCCACAGGGATGAATAGAAGATTATAAACAGTACTGCATAAAAAAAAACACACAAAAAATTGTTGAGAAAAAGAGCCCAAAGAGAACTTGATTTGAAATCCAGCTAAGCTAAATTATCCTGAGATCATTTGTAGATGAAACCAGGAAGACAACAAATAGACAGGTAATCGAAGATAATCTGCCACTATGTTTGTAGTAATCTAGCCTCACCAACAACAGTGAAACTACCATATTTGAATTCTACCACTTCATTATCTCATGTATGTACCATGTGAGGAAATAGCAATGGCATTTGAAAAGATGAAGTTGGGAAGAGAAGATGGACCAGACTAATAAGCACAATGACCGAGAAAATATTCGTTCTGGAGGCAACAAAATTTTAAAGACACTCATGGATCAATTCTCAAGATAACTCAAAGAAGAGAAGATTCCAAAAGGGAAAAGATTATAAATCTTAAAAATGTCAACTTAGAAGACATTGGTAACTAATGAGCTACATACCTGCTTTCTCATCTCTATAAAATGAGAGTGGTCTTTGCAGGCATTGAGTATCCTTGATGAAAACATAAAAAGGAAGTGGACAGGTTTGAAAGGCAGTATTTTATAGCAGAAAGTCAGCTGACTGAGAGGTGTAGAAAATAGATATGCCATTGTGTTTTGGGGGGTTGAAGATAACATTTGACAAGAAAACAACAAGGGCTTTTCTCAGCAAGGTGCCTCTTACATATACATCTGAACTGTGTAAGACTTCATGGTAGACATAACTTGGGATATAACTTTGTTCAGTGATCATTTGAATTTTTTTTTATCACATCAGCAAACATTTAATAAGTGCATATTATGTGCCAGACATGCAAAGTGTATTAAATATAGACACACACACATATATATATATATATATATATATATATATATATGTGTATGTATGTGTGTGTGTTTTCCCCATGTCATAGATGATGTACTATATGGATTCATTCTCATTAATAACTCATTTATTAAAACATTAAGACTTAAATAGTACTTTCCTTACAACAATCATGAAAAATATTTAGGTATTATAACTTTTATAGATGAGAAAACTGAGTTTCAGTGATGTGAGGTAACTTGCTCATGATAACATAAACAACTAATAAGTGTTAGAGCTATGGTCATATCTTCCAACTTCAATTCTGACATACTATATCCTATGGTCTCTCTTACAAAAATTTTTGCTCCTATTCAGATAGCATCCTGCTAATTGCATTAATCCCTGAAATGCTGCAAATCCACAGTAAAATCCACAATAATGTAGTTAGCCTAGCCTTCCATATTGAAGAAATATAGATTGCTTAGATTGATATAAACACTTTTTCAGATATGCATATGTGTCTATGTATGCATAGTTATATAGATATGATATGTGCTATGGTTGCATAATGAGCTGAGAAAAGGAGTAAAAGTGGTAAATTGAACTGGGTTCAATTTGGAAATGGTTGAATTCTTTCAGTCTTGCTCAGTGCCTCATAAGTCCATCTCTTTAACAACAGTATTCTCTGAACAGTGCTATGTTACTGTAGGGCATGAAGCAACAGGATCTCGGAACTAAAATTTCTATAACTCAAATAATTATAGAAATATAGATAATGATTATTACTTGGCTTTGAAGTATATTAATGATGATGTATTCAAGAAATAATAATAGCATTTATATAGCACTTTAAGGTTTGCAGAGTGCTTTACAAAAATTCTCTCATTTGATTCTCACTACAGTCCTTTGAGGCAGGTGCTATTCTATCCTCATTTTACTGATGTGTAAACTAAATTAGAGGTTAGTGGAAGGTAGGAGCTATTATTTTGCTTATTTTATAGATGAGAAAACTGAAGCAAGCAGGTTAAATCATTTGATCAGGGTCTCACAGCTAGTAAGTACCTGAGGCTGATAATAAGTATCAAATAAGTATTTGAACTCAAGATTACATGACTCCATGTCCAGCATTTTATCCACTGTGTCACCTAGCTGCTTCTAGTAGTTTAAGGGTCAAGTCAGTCAATAAGCATTTATTGCGGATTTACTATGTGTCAGGTATTGTGTGAAGCACAAAGTGCACCGTTCCATATTTTTCTGAAAAGATAGTAAAAGAGTAAGAAAAAGGAACTACAGTGGTTGAATAGAGCCTTTATGGAGGATTCCAAGAAAAACATGAATAAAAATCAAATGGAATGAGAAGATATGGAGTAGTTTCAGAATGCATTGGTGGAGAAAGTACCGATACTGACAAAATCAACAACCCATCAAATTATGAATGTAGAGTTCTTTATATTAATAACTCTATTAAAAATAAGTAAATTAGAAGAGACTTCTTTCTCTCTCATTCAGTAAGTGTGCAGTCATAATTTCCCATGCTGATGATTTTGGTTTCACAATTCATACAAAGTAAAGAACTATTCTAAATATTGAACTCTTGCTACTTTCTTGGACCATATAGATATAAATATTTTTTTAAAATTTTCATAACTGTCAATATATCATTTGTAGTTTTAAATGGAATTTTTTTTATGATAGGATGGTAAACCTGTGAAAAAATGGGTGAATATGAGTCAAGAGTTCATAAACCAGCATACAGTGGAACATAAAGGAAAACAAATTTGTAAATATTTTCTTGAGGGAAGATGTATTAAGGTAAATATTTAATTTAAAAGTACTTATATTTGTTTAAATTTCTGCATAATTATTAAATTTTTAAAGTATCATTTTTTGCCAGTCTGTACTCTTTCAATTTATTTTAAGAAATGTTTTCTATTAAGGAGTTTTTAGTAGCTACTAATTTATTGTTGCAATAAAACTAATTGACCTTTCACAACGCTAAACCTTATATGAAAATGCTATGTGCTGATGTTCGTATGTATAGTTTACAAAAAGTAGCAGTTAGGCAGTATATGAAATTTAGCTTTTTGAATTGGCTGTCTCCTATTCTTTTTGAGGTTTTAATCAACTTTTTGCACTATTAGTAACTCTGGTTATTGGAATGTTATTGAGATTTTATTATAGTCATAATTAAGGTACTCAGTTTTCAAAATTATTTTTCTTTCTTTTGTATACAGGGAGACCAATGTAAATTTGATCATGATGCAGAGTTGGAGAAAAAAAAGGAAATCTGCAAGTTTTATATACAGGGATATTGCACCAAAGGAGAGAATTGCATTTATATGCATAATATCCTTTGCTGAAAAGAGAAAACTAAAAGATTAAAGATGGAGTCGGAGTGGCAGAAGGGAGGGCCATAGAGAGCAGCAGTCTTTTTTTAGAAAATAGTTAACAGTGGTTTGATTCTAGTTTTGGGAAGGTTATACTATATAAACCCAATTTAGTTAACCTTTCTATTTAATTGAGTATTTTGAATTTCATAAATATCATTGATTAGAGAAAAGGAGTTCTTTCAGAGAAAAAATCTAATAAAGGCTTCAACTCTGAATCTCCGATCCTATGAATCCTTTCTATTTAACATGGTCAAGGTAACGTTTTGATGGGAGCTTTGTGTTTATACCAGGAAAAGTTGGCCTAATTTTTGTTGTATAACTCTTTTTTTTATTGTTGTATAACTCTTAATATAACATATTGAATCCCTTTAGTTTTTGCATAAATTATAGGGATTTATTGAAAGCTTACTTTCCACATGTAAGAAAGCCTTATATTTTTACAGAAAATAACACTTTTGCTTCTAACTTGTGTTAAATTTAAAAAGACATTTTTTTAGTCATACCAAAATAAAATAGATATTAGGAAAAACTATTAGAAATCACATTTTATAAGTTTTTTTTATTGCTCAATTATTGGGAAAGTTATTCATGAAATACAATATTCATAAATACTGCATTTTTATATATAAGTATATAGTTATGAATCATGGTATAGCCAACAAACTCAGAAAAATGTGGTTTCTAACACTTTATTTTAGAAATATATAAACATTTAAAATTTAAGTTAAATATTTCATCTAGATAAAAATGTATATTTAAGTTGTCTTTTCTAAAAAATACTTGAACTGAGGAAGGTTTAAGATGTAGGTTCAAATTCTGTTTTTACTACTTAATTATCTGTGTGACCTTGGCCAAATCAGTTATCATTCTCAGAGTCCTTGTATATTAAACAATGAAATAATACTACTTTCCCTACCAATCTGGTTGTTGTGAGGATCAGATAAGAAAAAAAATACATATGTATTTCAAAACAGTACCCCGATAGATATATGGCATTATAATTTCAGAAAAATCAGTTCATAGGAGTAAGAAGTTTTCTTCAGGCAGTGAAATGGTCTTAAAATACTTTAACTTGATCTCTTCCTTAATACTATTTTTACATGAATTTCCTTGCAAATTTTATCACACAGGAGCAAAATGTTACCAAGGAGATAAGTGTAAATTTTCCCATGCTCCTCTCACTAAAGAAACAAAAGAACTTCTGGACAAAGTAAGTAGTTTATACACACTATAATTCCTGGTATATTCCCATAGATTGATTTGACTGAAATTCTTTTTAAGCTGCATATTTTTTATAAAGAAAATTATTTATTAGTCAAACAAGCACTTGTTAAGAAGCTACTATATTCTGTACAGAGAAATTAACAAATGTTGGCACCAGAAAAGGACAGTTTTAATTATGGGAAAAAAAATTGGGGGCTAAGATTGTAATTTGTGTATTTTATTTATCTCATTAAAATGAATTCACCTATCTATACTTGTTGCTTATCCAGTTCACATTATCTACTAATTTGATCCTTATTCCTGCAGAATATCTTTTTATCCTTCCTTGATTCATTCTCTATTATAAACCCAGCAGTATCCATTCTGACCTTCTTAAAATATTCCCAATAATCCCACTCCCCTCATCCCCAGCAGACTACCTCCTGTTTGTGGGGCTTCCTCAAAGCTTTCTGTAGGTTCACCTGGCCTTCTCTTCAGTTCTGAGGAAGAAGCAGCCCTCCTCCTTGCCAAGATCATCTTTAGCTTGTGCCTTTAATCCTATCCCTTCTCCTAATCTTTGGGAGCTTAGCCATAGATCATTTCCTCCTTTTTCATCTTCAGTCTTTTATCTGCTGGCTTCTTCCTTGTTTCCTGAAATATGCCACAGTATCTCTCGTCTTTAAAAAAAACTTTTTATTTTGCCCTACCGTCCCCTGAAGGCTATTATCTTAAATTTCTTTTCCCTTTCACTGCTGTATTCTTTTATGATCTCTCAGTGATTTCTTAGTTGTCAAATCCATAGCCTTTTCTCAATTCTCTTTCTCCTTGACCTCTCTGCAGCCTTTGACACTGTCAGTCACTCTCTCATCCTTGATATTCTTTTCGCCTTAGGTTTTCAAAACACCACCTTCTCCTGGTTCTTTTTTTACCTATCTGATTCATCCCTGTCAGTCTCTTTTGCTGGATCCTCATTTAATTTCACACCCTCTAACCATAGGTGTCCCACAAGGCTCAGTCCTGGGCCCTCTTCTTTTTTTCTCTCTATACCACTTCAGTTGATGATCTCATCAGCTTCCACATCTTTAATTACCCTCTCTAAGCTGATGATTCTCAAATCTACCTATTCTGCCTCAACCTTTCTGCTGACTTCCAATCTCATATCTCCAGCTGTTTCTCAGACATCTCAAACTGGATGTTCAGTAAACATCTTAAGCTGAACATGTCTAAAACCAGACTCTTCTTTCTCCCTATACCCTTCCTCCTCCTACCTTCTGTATTACTGTGGGCCTTTAGGCCTACCGTATCTATTTCTCTATCACTATCTCTCACCCCTCATATCCAAGCTATTTCCAAAGCCTGCCAATTTGACCTTTGCAGCATCTCTGAAATATGCCCCTTTCTCTCCTCTGACTTTGCCACCACTGTAGTACAGATCCTCATCATCTTATGTCTAGACTATTACAATATCTGTTGGTGGTCTGCCTGCTTCAAGCCTTTCACCACTCCTTTCACTTTTACTTCCTATTCAGCCACCAAAGTGATTTTCCTAAAACCACAGGTGTGACCATCTGACCTCTCTCTTCAGTAAATTCCAGTGGCTCCTTATTGCCTCCAGAATCAAGTACAAAGTCCTCTGTTTGGTATTCAAAGCCTTTTGTAACCTAGCCCCAACCTACCTTTCCTGCCTTTTTACACCTTGCTCCTTGCCAGGTACTCTTCAATCCAGTGACTCTGGCCTCCTGGCTATTCTACCAACAAGATGCTCTATCAGCTCTGGGCATTTTCTCTGGTTGTGTCCCATGTCTAGAATGCCCTTCCTTCTCATCTCTGCCTACTGTCTTCCCTGACTTCTTTTAAGTCCCAGCTAAAATCCTGTCTTCTACAGGAACTTTCCCAGCCCCTCTTAATTCTAGTTAATAATTTCCTCTGTTATGTAATTTCCTATTTATCCTTTATATAGCTTGCCTTGCATATATTTGTTTGCTTGTTGTCTCCTCCATTGGATTGTGAACTCCCTCATTAGATTGAGGTCAGAGACTATCTTTTGTTTCTTTTCGTATCCCCAGTGCTTAGCACAATACCTGCCACATAGAAGGTGTTTAATAAATGTTTATTCATTGATTAATGGATATTCATGGGAAAAAGACTATACATGTTGCCTCCACATTCTTACCATCCACTTACTTCTCAGCCATGGCTTCTGATTCCACTACTTTATGGAAATTCCTCCCTACTAGATCTAATGGGCTTTTCTGGTCCTCATACCCCCAACCTCTGCCAGTTTTGGACAGTTAAACATCACTTTTTCCAAAATCCTCTTTCCTCCCTTAGCTTCATAACATTGATCCCTTCCTACCTCTCTGACCATCCATTCCTTTTCATTTTTCTTTTTTTTTCAATCATTATCCATCTCTAAGTGTATATAACCACCCAAACTGTCCTGTACTCCTTTCCTTCCATATGACCTCTTGCTTAATGATTTCACTCACTCCCATGGGTTATCATCTCTACACAAATGATCTTCAGATTTCTATGTCCAACTCCGATCTCTTTCATGAATTCCAAACCTTTATCATAGACATTTTCTCTTGGATTTCCCTTTGACATTTCAAACTCAACATTTCTAAAACAGAATTTATCTTCCTTCCTATAAATCTATGCCACCTTCCAGTTATTTCTTTTGAAGGTCAGAATCCTCCTGGTCATCTAGTTTCATTTTGACAGAGTTTCCTAGATTCTTCCCTCTTCCTCAACTCCCCATATTCAGTCAGTTATCATATCCTATTTATTTTACTACCACAATTCTCACAGCAGTTATTTCATTGTAATTCAACTCTCATTATTTGGCACAGATATCTCCTCCTCTTCATTCATGTGGCTATAATCTTTGTTTAGGCCCTTATCACATCATGCCCTATCACATCATTCCTGTTTTAAAACCTTCTAATTGGTCTCCCTGACTTCAGTCTCTAATTCATCATCCACAAAGTTGCCAGAAAAATTTTTCTGAGGCACAGGTTTGACCATGTCATCAACCCCTATTCAGAAAATCTCCAGTGACTTCTGACTGCCTTTAGGATAAAGTAACAAATTCTTCATCCTAGATTTTAAGGCTCTCTATAATCTGACTCCAACCTCCCTTTACATTCTTATTTTTTATCAATTTCTTTCATGTATATTCCAGCCAAACTAGACTGCCATTTTTCTAAACTTGACATTCTCTTTTCTCCCTTTGTATTTTTGCATAGGTTGTTCTCATCCCTGAAATGTACACCCTCCTTATCTCTGACTTTCAGAAACATTAAATTCCTTTAATAATTAAGCTAATTAAGCACAGTTTAGGTATCTCTTCTCTATGAAATATTTTCTCATCCCCTAGTTGTGTTATTTTATTTATTAAATAATTCTGTATTTATTTATGTACATGTCATATTCCCCCAGTAGAGTGTAAGTTCCATAAGATCAAGGACTGTCTTTTTTGTCATCATATTCCCAGAATGCCTTGCACAGAGTAGGTATTTAATGAATATTTGTTCAATTGAATTGAATTTGGACCAAATTGGAATGAGTTTATTATGCTTTCATTGGTAGTTTGACAAAAGTTCTAAATTGTTTTAAGAAAATTTTTATAAATTAAAAATTGTTTCCCTTCCCCAGGAAAATTCCTTAAGAGAGGAACAAACTATTGGAAATTTCCAGTTCTCACTGAATTTCATAATTTTGAACAGATTATATATCTTGAGATATGATGTGTCATTATACTCATCAACCCTCTGGTGCTTTCAAAATTAATTATTCATTCTGGATACATGATTTCAAGAATTACCATCATTATTACTGGTTTTGTGACAATGAACCTTAATTTCTTATCTGCAAAATGAAAGTAATAAAATATCCACTACTGTTTCATTGGTTAAGGGGAAACATTTATATAAGTGTACGTTATTAACATCATCATGGCTCAGTGTTCCATTGGATTATGCATCTGTTAGGCAGTTAACGAAAAAGACCTAACATTTTTAGGTAATTAGATGTCTGGAGGTCTAAATAATGTCATGCTTCTGGGATTTAAAAGCAAATTGAAATAGACAGGAATTATTCAATAAATATTTGACCTATCAATTCTACCAACATGTGCTAAGTCCCTGCTACAAACAAGACAGTGTGAGAGGTCCTAGGCATATGTTGATAGATATGGCATAAGCCTTGCTCTCAAATTGCTTATACTCCAGTGGCATAAAAAAGCGAGTACATTTATTTGTATAAATGTAATTCCATGGTAAGCTGCATAAATGCAAAGTCCATGCAAAATACTGTAAGAAATTTGAGGAGGGAGTAGGTTAGGTTAGGAAGGTCAGCAAAGGCTTCAAGGAGCAGGTAGGATCTAAGCTGGGTCTTGAAGGAAGGGAAGGACTTTAAAAGATTGGTGTAGAGAATATAATACAAAGCCCTGGAGATGGGAGAGGGAAGAATAAGAATGGAGGAGGGCAGAGTAATCCTAATTGGTTAGCATGTAAAAGATATAAAGATTGGTAATATGAGGTAAGACTGGATAGGTAGTTTTGAACCAGGTTGTGGAGGGCATTGGATTCTAATATCAGGAGTTTATATATTATAAATTAGACAGTAGGGAGCCGTTGAAAGTTTTTAATAGGGATGCATTAAAATTAGTCAGGCAGCAATGTGGAGGATGGATTGTAGAAATGACAGAATGGAGGCAGAAAGATAGTTGTTAAGAAACTATTGCAGTAGTATAAGAAAGAAGTAAGCACCCTGCAAGGGTGGTTGTTGTGGGAGTCAGAATGAAGGGCCAGATACAAGAGAAATTGAAGAAGTAGGATTGGTAAGATTTTCTGTTGTTTCGATGTGTGGGATGAGGGAGAAGAAAGAGCCAAAGATAATTCTAAGATTATGAGATTGGGAAAATGAAAGCATCATTGCCAGAAATTGAAAAACTAGAGGGAGGACCATGTTTAGGGAGGAAGATAATGAATTGTGTTATAGACATATTATTTTAAGTGTAAATGGGATAGAGAGGTAGAAGTATACAGCAGGCAGTTAAAAATATGATTTTGAGGCGCAGCTAGGTGGCTCAGTGGATAAAGCTCCAGCCTTGGAGTCAGGAGGACCTGAGTTCAAATCTGGCCTCAGACACTTGACAGTTACTAGCTGTGTGACCTTGGGCAAGTCACTGAACTCCAATTGCCTCAGCACTACCCCCCCCAAAAAAAAAGAATAGAATAAAAATATGGTTTTGGCTCTCTGGGGAGAATTTGAGAAGTGAAAATATAGATTTGGAAGTCATCTGCATGAAAGTGATCATTAAATCCACAAGAGATAATAAGAGAGAGAATAGAGGACCAAAGACAGTAAGTACCTTAAGGAAGACCCATTGTTGTAAGGAGTGAGAGGAGGATGAGGATTCAGCAGAAGAAGCAAAAAGTATTGGTTGAAAATGCAAATTAACCATGAGAATACAGCATCAAAGAAGCCAACAGCAGGAAAGACTATCAAGATGATGGTGTGGTCTACAGAGTTATATGATGCCGAGTTCAAAAAAGATAATAGATAAAAAGGTGGTAGGAAATTTAGTGACCTTGAGGGAGTTCACTAGAGTAGTAGAGATTAAAAGTAGATTGCAACGGATTGAGTCAGTGGTAGAGACAGCAAGTAAAGTCTTCTTTACAGGAGTTTGATAGAAAAGAGAGAGATGATAGCTTGAGGGGAAATAGTGGGAAATTAAGAAAAGTTTTTTGTTTTTGCTTAAGAAAATGTGTGATAATATATTTAGTATGAATAATACAGCATTAGGAATTGTTCAGAGGTCAAATGATACCCTGGTCAGAAACTTGTTTTCGTATTAGATTCAGTTGTACAAAAATGATGATGTAATTTTCTTTTAGGTCTTGAATACTGAAGAGGAACCACAAAATGAAGATGAAAGAGAGTTAGAAGAACTCAGAAGGCGTGGCATTGCTCCTCTTCCTAAACCACCTCCAGGAGTTGGCCTTTTGCCAACCCCACCAGAGCATTTTTCATTTTCAGAACCAGAAGATAATTTTCAAGGAGATCTTTCTGATGAATTTAAGAAAATTCCATCTCTCTTTGAAATAGTTGTAAAACCTACTGTGGATTTAGCACATAAAATTGGGAAGAAGTAAGTCAAAATTCCAATCATAGCAAAATACTGTGCATTCAAACAAAGGTCTGAATCTTATGTAAAATGAAATCATTTTCTCTGCTTTCCACATGATCCCTATACCTAATAGTTCACTAAACTTAACAAATGTTAAGTTGTTAGTTACTAGTTTTATTTTTTTCATTGTAGTGAATAATTTTGTCCTTTTGATTTCAGCCTTGATTTTGTTTTGTCTAGTCTTCCCTATACTATTTCTTCCTTGATTTTTATGGAGAAGTGCTATCTTGGAAGATACCAGACATTTTAACATGGAGATGAAAACTCTTTTTCACGAAACTGCAAATGTGCCTTTCCAAGGTCTGGCAACAACTTTCCCCACTTCAAGGCAGTATCTAACAGTCTAGTAACTTCCCAAAATCTGAATTGTTTCTGGAACCATCATTTACACTTCTCCAATATGGTACCAGTAAAGTGTTTGTGGCTGCCCTTAGAAGTTGTGCTGCTAAAGAACAATACTGAGACCTCTAAGAATTAGTTTTTTTAACTACTGCTTCAGAGCACTGAATTTGGAGTCAAAGGATTTAGATTCACATTTCAGCCCTGCCAGTTACTTGTTGTATGAACTTAAGGCAGTCAACTAATCTCTCTGAGCCTCATTTATAAAATGGCAGTTATGATATTTTTACTACCTACCTACTAATGTCATAGGATTTAGAACTGAAAGAGACCTTAAAAATCATTTGAGTCTGACATCCTGATTTTACAAATGAGATCTCTGGGACCCAGAAAGGTTGTGACTTTGCCAGGGACACACAGGTAATAAGTAGCAGGACCAAGATCTGAACCCAAGTCCTCAGATTCTTACAGAATTGTCAGGAAAGTGCTTTGTAAAGTGTTGCCTAATTGTGAATAATTTTTATTATTATCATCTAACCAGCAGTCTTCTTCCATAGTATTTTCAAGATATTTCTAAGCTTAAGTAGCCTCGAAATAGCCATTGAGGCTAGTGTTTAAATTTCTCTGTGTGACAAGAAGCCTTTATTCAACTATTATCAGGATTAGGGAGAGAGTCAGCCATTGGATTTCCCAAATTTCCTGCATTAGTCTACGTGATATTTTTAAAAGATCATAGATAGCTTCTTTTTCCTTTTAGATCTGTTTTTCTAATAAGTTTAACATTTTCAAAAGAGAATAAAGGAATCAACTTTTAGCTACCTTTGATCTTTTTTGCCCTAATAATTGGTTCTATGGCATTCAGGAATTACTAAATGCTCCCATTTTCCTCTTCTCCAGACTGCTTCTGAAGAAATAGAGGGAAGATTAAGCATCAGTGGATCCCAAAGTACCATAACATTGCTGTTCTTTTGTACCAAAACATGTGACTACTTAAATCAACAGATAGCAATTATTATAACAACATATCAAAGATATTTATAACTACTATGTAAAGCTTGCCCCATATGCTATAATTTTAATATGAACTTACTGCTGGTCCATCCAAATGAATTCAAGTAGTGCCAGAATGATAGGTTGGATGTTTGGTAATGTGAACAACCAGTGTAATTCTCCACTTCTTTATTTATCTAGTGGCCCAAATGATAGGTAGTATATAATAAGCTAATGAATAACTTTAGAGCTATTCATTATCAGGAGATAACCCTTGAAAGACTTAAAAAATGAAATGTGAGTAAAATGATACATTAGTAAAAAAAAAAGTGAACAAGTATATTAGGACAGGACTAATTCTAACATGTATTTTCCTTTTCAGTAAATATGATTCTTACAGACTAAAAGAAACAGAAAACCCCCAAAAGTTATTGAATGATATCCAGTTATCATTACAGTGGTAATAACAATCTCTCACAAGTGGCTTTAAGTCTTACAGATCATTTTGTACATATTTATTTCATTTAATCCTCCTAATGTCAGTATTGCTGTGCCCACCTTACTGATAAAACAGTTGAGGCTGAAAGAAGTTAAAGAAGTTAAACTATTTGCCAAAAATCACATTAGATAAGCTAAGACTTAATTAAGCTCTAACTCCAAATCCAGTGCTTTTTCTTCTACACAAAAGTACCTTCCCCAAAGGATCTTGAGTTATTTAATTTTTATAACTTTCTAGCACTTATCAAGGTGCTCTGCAGTGGGTGCTAATAAATTTTAAATTAAATTGAAGGGAATTACCAATTTTACACTTTGTAAAAGGTATCTCTAACATTTCTTCCATTTTTGAAACATTATCACTAAAGGTTGAGTGTGCTTAATTAGCATGAGTAATGTTTGACTGAAAGGAATTTCCAAATGTTAAGTATCCCAAAGTATCCTAAAGAAAATATAGAACCAACTTGAAATGTCCTCAGTTTTGGCACTTATTTTCAGACATTGAATTTTGGTGAAAAAGCAATGAAACTAAGAGAATAATTTTAATCCTTTTGTACTAATTGTGGCTACATTTTTAGAATAATTCTCTGTGTATTAAGTTTGACTGTATGATGGTATGTTTCCACTGGACAGCAGTGGAGATGACCTGCCTATCACCACTGCTAGATTTTTTTGTAGGGAGAGAGCAACAATAATGAGGAGAACTAAAAAAATGTTAACAGTATATTATAGTAGATATAATACTAGATTTGGAATTAGGAAAACTGGGACTTAAACTACAACATTGATAGTCATGTGACCATAGGCAGGTTACTTAACCTCCCAAAGGCCATTTTCTCCTCTGTAAAAATGAGAATAATACTTTCTAAGTATATTTCATGGAGTTGTTGTGAGGCTCAAATAGAGAAATATATGTAAGGCAATTTATACACTTTCCAGTGTTACATAAATATAGTTACAATAAACATTGTAGTTCCTTTCTTCAGAGAATATTTATCACATATGGATAAATAAAGAAGAGGGTTCTTTTTCCATTTTATAAACAGAGACAAAATTGATGCTATTAGTAATGAGAATTTGTTTCAGACTCCCATTGTCCACTGAGGAAAGTATTAAGAAAATAAGTGCTATAATTTCCATCTTATGATATGTACTGTGATATACACTGATACTGTATTACAGTACAAACCAGGAAAAATGGCTTTTGAAAATGTCTGGAATTTTTACATGTCTGTTCTATAGCATAGTATTTAAGATTATAACCAAATTTTGTAATAACATCAGTAATCAAGGCAGAGCCAGATCAAGAAGAATTTCCAAGGAAGCAACAGGTAGTCAATAGGAATTGAGGAAGCAGTGGAAATAAGAAAAGCGACACAAAAAAAGTCATGTAAATGTTAAGCAAAATTAATACTTTTAAAAAACTTTGTAGGTAATATCTGTTGTTTCTGTCTTTGGTAGAAAGTGCTTATGAATATTCATTTAGGTATTTACACTTTTTTTTCTCAAGATTTAAGTTAAGAAAAATGGTAAAATATTTTTTTCTTTTTACAGGCCACCAGCATTTTATAACAGTGCCTCACCACCAGGACCACAGTTTCAGGGAAACAACCCACATCCTCAGAATATGTACAATTCAGGGTCAAGTCCAGGTCCTGGTCCTAACATGTCTCAGGGACACAATGGTCCTGCAATGCACCCAGGTTCCCCTGGCCACCACCCGTGTACAGGTCCTCCTGGCCCACCAATGCCACATAGCCCACCATTGCAACCTGGTCCACCTGGATTTTTAGGGCCTCATAATCAAGCTGGAGGACCCATTCAACCAGGCCCACCTTTAACACCACCTGGTATGAGTGGTTCCTATAACTCTATGGGAGTCCAGGGACATATGATGAACATCGCTATGGAAAATCACTGTTCCTCAGGTCCATCTTACCAGCAAGGTCCCAGTGAAATGCAGCTCAGTGCCAACTACGAGCCCCTACAAAACCCAGCTGAATTCTATGATAATTACTATTCACATCAAGCTGTACATAATTTTCAGACAGTCAATAACTCTGGTGGTAAGTTTATCTTTGAAATTCTATGTTTAGTTCCTTGTTTATCATTTCAAGATAATTTTACAAATGTGGTATTTATGAATAATAAATAGGTTGTGTGCTTAGAAACAATTTAGATGGAAATACATAGTAAAAGTATGTTTTTTCTAAAGTCAGTTATATGGTTTAGTGGCAATGTGGCAGAATGCTATTGCATAGATTTAGGAGGGGAAGTCGAGATCTTTATTGCTTACTTTCAGCAGTGACTTAGCTATAAAAATAGGAGGTCTTGTCAATCAAGTAGTTAGCAGAACATTAAAACAGTACAAACATGGCACATCTTACTTCTTCCACATATTTTGTGCCGTTGCACCAGAAAAAGAAAAATTATTTTAAAATATATTTATGCTGCATGTAAATACTTGAGAATTATGCATGGTAATAAAACTGTCACCTTCTTGGTGTATGCAGGGGAATTATATACTTAAACATTTCTGAATAACCAGCTAATATTTCTTGGGAAAAAATTACACTGAAAATTGTTTTTAACAGTAGAAGCCTATCAGTAAATGAAGACATCACAATCAAAGCATAAGTTAATGTTTTTATTTCAAAATTTGGCAAAAATTGATGTTTTATTATTTGGATGGTTTTTTAAAATCAAAATTAATTCTTGAATGAGAAACAATATTTTTTTCTACCACTTGGGTTAATTAATTGTATATATAATTATATATATTCCAATAACATAATAGAATTATAGATCTCAAATGAGAAGGAACGTTTGAAGAAACTCTAGTTGAATTCTCTTGTTTTATAGTTGAGGAGACTGAAGCACAGAGAGATTTAAGTGACTTGCCTAAGTTCACAAAGGTAATTAATAGCAGAGCTAGTATTTGCACCTGAATCCTCATACTCCAGATGTAGTCCTTTTTCCACTAAACTATCTTTCCATCAAAATGTATTTTGCTTCAGTTGGTATCAGCCATTCTTGTTTGGACTAAATATTGTTAGAATTTAAGTGTTGGTTGAGATAAAATACATGAAATATGTCATTTAACACTTGATTACTTTAATGTTAAGGTGGACAGTAAAATATGATTCAGATTTTTAAAATGAAAGAGACCAAAGTTCATAGGCTGCTCAGAAGTCTCATATCTATATATCATAAAGTTTGTCTTCAAGAAGAGAGTGAGGTGCTATATATGTTGAGCACTATGTAGCATCAATAAAACAATGAAATTTACTATGTCTTATAAGTGACAGAAAAAAGATTGTTTTTTTATCTATTTGGAGTTATTTCAGAATCAGTTATATATGTGGTGTAAGACCACATAAAATTATTACATTGTAATTAGAGCAAAAGTAAACATCAGTGCCAGATTTGAAGAAAGGATAAAAAATGAAGACACTGCAAATAGATACAGTACAACCTGACCTCCTGACACAAGGCATTTATGCTGAAAAATGAGAAATTGAAAAAGGCAAAAATAACTAGTCAGTTAGCATTTATTAAGCATCTGCTATGTGCCAGGCACTGTGCTGAGAGCCAGGATACAAAGAAAGCTAAAAACAAACAAAATACACCTAGCTCTCAAGGAAATTCACAGTTCGTGCAACCAAGATAGATATATATATATATAGATATGGATATGTAGAAATATACACACAAATGGGGGGTAGTCTCTAAAGGAAGGCACTAAGATTAAAAAAGATTGAGAAGGGCTTCTTTCAGAAGGTAGGACTTTAGCTGAGACTTAAGAAAGCCAGGGAAGCAAAGAAGTGGAGATGAGGGGAAAGACTGTTCCAAGGATAGCCAGCAAAAACCCTTCAAATTGGGAAATACAGTATCTTGTATAAAGAATAGCCAGGAGTCTAGTATCATGAGATCACAAGGTAGGTAGAGGATAATAAAGTATAAGAAGACTGGAAAAGTAGGAAGATGCCAGGTTTTAAAGTGTTCTAAAAGCCAAACAGAAGATACCATATTTGATCCTGAAAGTAGTAGAAAACCACTGGAGATTATTGAATATGAGGGGAGGTGATATGATCAGACTTGTTCTTTAGGTGGATCAATTTGATAGTTGAATGGAGGATGGATTAGAGTAGGGAGAGACTTGGGGCAGAAACAATAACAAACAGGCTCTTACAGTAGTCCAGAAATGAGTTGGTGAGGGCATACTCCAGGGTGGTGACAGTGTTTGAGAAGAGAAAAAAAATTTATATGAGAGATGTTTTGAAGGTAGAAATGATGAGACTTGGCAGCTGATTGGATCGGGGAGAGAGAGTATGGAGTTAAGGATGACACCTAGGTTGCAAACCTGGATTACTGGGAGGATGGTGTCACCTTTGACAATAATAGAGAAGTTAAAAAGAAGGGATGGTTTGGGGATGGGAGGAAGATGATGAGTTCAGTTTTAGATATGTTGAATTTAAGCTGTCTATAAAACATCCAGTTCAAGATTTCTAGTAGGCCACTGGAAATGTGAGAGCAAGTCAAAAGAAAGTTTAGGTCTGGACATGTAAATTTGAGAGTCATCTGCATAGAGTTTATAATCAGATCTACAGGAGTTTATGAGATCACCAAGTGAAATAGTGTAGAGGGAAAAAAGGACCCAGGACAGAATCCTTTGGAACACCCACAATTAATGGACATGACCTAGATGAAGATTCAACAGAACAGGCTGAGAAGAAATGATCAGACAGGTAGGAGGAGAACCAGGAGAGAGCAGTGTCATGAAAACCTAAATATAAGAGAGTATCAAGGAGAATAGGGTGGTTGACTGTCAAAGATGGATCAATGTCAAGGTCAAGAAGTGTGGGAATTAAGAAAAGGTGATTAGATTTGGCAATTAAAGATCATCATTAACTTTGGAGAGAACAGTTTCAATTTATTGATGAAGTTGGAAGTCAGACTGCAAAGATAATCACTATTTTCTGTAGCATTTTAGTTTATGTAGAATAGTCATCACAGTGAGGGGACCAAATGAACCTAGAAGCCACCATAACCAACCAACACATGATGGCCTTGCCAAGGGGGAAGATATGTCAGCTAGGAGGCAATAGCAGATTAAAGTACAAATTTACTTGTACAACATAAGAATGAAGAAAGAGTATGAACATTATCTCATAATAGAGCAAAAACGCAGTAGAGGTGAAAACAAATGTGTAGAAAGCTTGATGTGAGACCCAATGAAGTCATGCGAGCCCAATTCCATCTATAGATGAAAGTGACAAAAGAATAATAAATGTCAGAAAACAGCACAGATTTGTCAGCATTTTCATAATGACCTGTCTTCATCAATTCATCATTAACTACAAACCAGTACAAGAAAGTTCTAATAATCTCAAATTTAGAGTGTATTCTTGATGAAAATGTAAGAAGCAAATAGATATTTTCACAAGCAATTTTCCACAGTAGAGCATATTTTTGTAGTCTCACAATTAACTAGAAAAACAAACCCCCATTACCATAAGAACCTCTACTCTATACCTTCTCATTGAGGGCCTGGATAGATTTCACAGGGTTCGTGAATTTGAATGGGGAAAAAATTACATGTCTATTTTCATTCATCTCTAACTGAAATTTAGCTTTTCCTTCAATTATTTTTTTTTTTAAAAGGAGCATTATGGTTGCGGGTTTTATAAGTTTCAACTGACTGCCAGAAGGAACCATGATGCAAAAAACACTGAGTACTTCATGTAATGAGTACAACATCCCAGAATCTCAGAATTTCCAGGTTGGGAGGTACTTTGTAGCCATCAAGTCCAACACAAACCTGAAAAAGAATTCTTTCTATGGTGTACCTGAGAAGTGCTTATGTTGCCTTTACTTGAAGATTTCAAGTGAGAAGTAACCTATTACCTCTCACAGCAGTCTGTTGTACTTTTTGATAGTGCTAAATGTTAGGAAGTTTTTTGGAATTTTTTTTTAATATCATGCCTAAATTTGCCATATGTAGTGTTGTGGTTTTTTTAGGCAGTTGGGGTTAAGTGGCTTGCTCAGGGTCACACAGCTAGTAAGTGTCAAGTATTTGGTCGGAGGCCAGATTTGAACTCAGGTACTCCTGACTTCAGGGCCGGTGCTCTATCCACTGCACCACCTAGCTGCCCCCGTATGTATTTTTACCCATTGCTTATAGTTCTGCCCTCTACAGCCAAACAAAACAGATCTAATCCATCTTTAACTGAAAGTCTTTCGGTATTTTAACAGCTATCATATAACTCCTGAGGCTTTTTTCTTCAGGTTAAACACCCCCAGTTCCTGCAGCTGATTCACATATAGCATGAAGATCACCATTCTAGGTGCTGTCCTTCTTTCCCTTTGACGCTTAACAGTTTATCAGTGATCTTCCTAAAATGTTCCATCCCGGGCCCCAGCTATGGTCTGGCCAAAAAGAATACAATGGTTAGGGAATTGAGGTGTTCTGTCTTATTACATCACTATGGGAAAGTCCTATCCACAGATAGAGACGAACCGTCTGTTTGCCACTTAGAATAAAGAGTTGCCTGGGGCAATAAGAGATTAAGTGACTTGCTTTTGGTTACTCCACTACTGTATGTTAAATGCAAGACTTCAGCCCTATTTTTCTTGATGCCGTAGCTTTCTATTTAGATTGTAAGCACTTTGAATATAAGGAATGTCTTTTTGCCTCTTTTTGTATCCTCAAAACTTAGCATAGTGCCTGGAACATAGTATGTTCTTAATAAGTGTTTATTGATTGATATGTATCACAAAAAGACTTTGTTATCTCTCTATACATTGAAGCTATGATTCTCTTAGTATGATTTAAAATTGCATTAACTTTCTTGGTTCCTGAACATGTTAAGCTAAATATTAGTCCACTAAAACACATAACTCTTTTTTGGAAAAGTGTCTCTTTAGCTATGCCCCTTCCATGTTGTATTAACGAAGGTGATTTTTTTTAACCCATCTAAGACTTTATATTTATCCCAATTAAATTTCATCCTTTTTCAATTCAGTCCACTGTTTTAGTCTGTAGAAATACTTTTGAATTCTGAATCTCTAATCCATTATTGCTTGTCCCTCCCAACTTTTTGTAATCTGCAAATTTAATGAATACATTGTCTATGCTACTATCCAAGTCATTGGTTTTTAAAAAAAATACCATGTGGATGGACTTGATTACCCAAAAAAAGAGTTTGACTTGGTAGGGCAACATGTTGTCTTAAAATCTCAACAAGGGGTCTACAATGCTTGCATTAAGATAATATAAGATTTCTTGTTGACTATAACCATGGAAATAAGTGTTCAATGATCTATTTGTTATTAACATCAAGCAGGGTAGAAAACATGAAGACATAATATCACCAAAGGTCTGAGCCGTTATCACGAAAAATTTTCTCCAAATGCTCCTGTTTGCAAATGTCTTTATGTTAATTGCATTAAGTCCAAGAATAATACCTTTCCAGTGATATTCATGACTTTATTCAATGAATAGCTAAAATGCCACTATTCAAAAAAGTTTAACTTTCTTGCCAATATAGAAAAAACAAATATATATTGTCCGAACAGCAAGCCTGTTGTCCGATGATCATTACACATCTAGGACGGACACTGCAGATGGACAGTGAACTGACCACAAATGAATAGGAGGAAGAAAATAGGCTGAATTTTATTTAGGAATTTGTGCAGTGCTTTTAACAGTCCCAGGCTTTTCCCAGACACAAAATCCATCCTTTTAACACTGGTTTTCTAGTGAAGTTGTATATTTGTGCATCCTATAACATCACAGTATCGAAAGTGTGAAAATTATGGGTAATGCAAAAGGCAATGGACAGATGCATGATTTGTTTAAGTAGGCTATAGAATATTTCCATCAATGAACTATGTACAAGAAATGGCATAAGAAACATTTGAGAAATGTGTAATTGGAAAATGATCATAGAATTTTGGATTTAGAGGTGTAAGAGACCATAGAGATCAGAGGGTAAGTAATTTGCCCAAGGTCACAATCAATCAAATAATAAATATTTAGTAAGCATCTGCTGAGTGCCAAGCACTGTGCTGAGCTCTGGAGATACAAAAAGAGGCAAAAGATAGTCCCTGCCCTCAAAGAGCTCACAATCTAACGAGAGAGACGACATTCAGACAAATAAAAACAAAGCTATATACAGAATAAATGGGAAATAATTAACAGAGGGAAGACACCAGAATTAAGACAGGTTAAGGGAGGTTCTAATAAAAGATGGGATTTTGGTTGAGACTAAAGGAAGCCTGGCAGGTCGGTGGGCAACGATGAGGAGAAAGAGTATTTTCCAGACGTGAGGAACAGCCAGAAAAAAAAAAATTGCCCAGAGCCCAGAGATGGAGTGTCTTGTTGGTGGAACAGCCAGGAGTCCAGTGTCACTGAATCAGAGAGTAAAGCTTGGGGAGTAAGGTATAAGAAGTCTATAAAGGGAGGAGGAGGCTATGTTATGAAGGGTTTTGAATGTCAGAGGACTTTGTATTTGATTCTGGAGGTAATAAGGAACTACTAGAGTTTTTTTGAGTTGTGGGTTGACATGTTCAGGCCTGTACCTTAGGAAATTACTTTGATGGCTGAATGGAGGATGGACTAGAATGAGGCAGACATACCCATTGGCAGAGTATTTCCATAATCAAGGGTGAGGTGATAAGGGCCTTCAGTACAATGATAGTGGTGTCTGAGGAGAGAAGTGAACATATTTAATAGAGGATGCAAATGTGAAATCGAAGGGCCTTGGCAACAGATTGGATATGGGGGAGTAAGAGAAAATGTGGAGACCAGAATGACTCCTAAGTTGCAAACCTACAGGACAGAATTTGAACACAGGATTTCTTGACTCTTAGTCCAGCACTCTATTTACTAGTTGTAATGCTCAAGGCCCACAACATATTGGGTAGAACCTTTATGGAGAATATGAATAAGAATTGTCCAGAATGAGAAGTCATGGATGGGTTTTAATCAACATTAATAGTAGAACAAGTAGCCAAGTTGATGAGATCACTGATCCACTGAAGTATTGCGACATACCTTCTATTTCTATTTAATTTGATAACTTTTAAGAAGCAGGGAGGGAACAAGCATTAAGCACCTACTGTGTGCCAGGCACAGTGCTAAGCACTTTACAAATATTACCTCATTCAGTCCTCACAACAATGCTGGGAGGTAAGTGCTATTGTTTTCCCCATTTGTTGTTGAAGTAGCTGAGGCAAGCACAGGTTCTGACTTGCCTGGGATCACATGGCTAGTAAGTGTCTGAGGTACTACTACCTAACTGCCTCCAAGGACAATGCTTGTATACTTGGGCATTTGATCATGATAAAATATTTACTTCAGCATTTAATAGAACCTTGTCTTTTCACAACAATCCAAAAAGATAAGAATCAGGCTGACTTCCTTGGACTGCTGATTTACTGCTCCTGTATTTTGCTGCCGCAATCCCAGTGCTTTTCAAGATTACCTTACCAAGCCCTATTTACTTTTGAGTATAATTGTCACAAATGGTGGCAACCAGCATTGGCCAAGGTGTCAGTAGATGAGTCCTGGGAATGGAAATGGGCAGCATTCAATAACACTGCGTCCATTAAGTAAAGAAATGAAGAAATTCATTCCTTCATTTCTAAGAAAGACTTCAGGGAATGAAATGAGGAAACAAGTGGCAAGAGAGGTAAAATTAGGCTAATGATCTTGATTTCTAGGCTGTATTCACATGATTAAAATATACCAGAAATATTCATATGGGTATGGACCAATTATATGTTCATTAAATAATTATGCTGTGTCCAACAAAAAATCAAAGATGGGGAAAAATTGACCATATAGTAAAATTATCCTAGCACATTTTGTGGAAATGAAGAACTGGAAACACAGTGCCCCCATCAACTAGAGAATGGCTAAACAAACTGTGATATATGAATAATGAAATATTACTGTTCATTGAGAAATATGAGGAATTAAGAGAAACACGGGAAGATCTGTATGAATTGAAACAATAACAATCTGCACAATGGCTGTAATGAAAGCAGAATGTAAGCCAAAACTGTTCGTTTTTATCATTATATCCTCAATGCTTAGCACAGTGCCTTGTCCATAGTAGGAACTTAGTAGATGCTTGTTGAATTGAAGAATATAAATGAAAGGAAAACGGAAAGGAAGCCCAGTGCTGAGTAATTGTAATATTCAGTCTTGGTCCTAGAGAACAAGTAATGAAATAGAGGAACATGGAGACAGATTTTTACATATAGTGTCAGCTGCTGTCACTATATCATAAAGTTTTTGGTTAACCATTTTTCCTTTTTTACAAAGGAGGATTGAACTCCTTTGTGCCAAAGGAAAACAATTAAACAAAAACAAATAACAGTGATAGCATCTGACAAAATAGACAACATTTTGCCCTAATAGTCCCTCATCTCTTCTGTGAGACATTAAAGGTTTCCGTCCTGTATGGCCTTCGTGGATTTTTCAGTTGCTTAGAGTTTGTCTTGAATCTTGAAAATTACTAAATGCCTTTAAAATTTATCCAAAAGCATTAACGTAGTAAAGCTTTAAATACTTTAATGTTGTTTTTAATAATTTAACAAAATTATACCTTCAAGCTTGAGATTAGGTAAATATTTTCTTATAAAAATTCACTTATTGTTGGGGAATCCATGCCTTGTAAAACTGACTATTATCCAGTGAGATTTTTTTTAATATTATCCAGTATTTGTTTCTTTTATTGTTGTTGAATACATGCAGATGGAATGTGGCATGGTGAATTTGCTGAACATCAGCCTCACATGGCTCAAGACTCATTAAACAGTGGAAGTGAGTCAGATTGCATCAACACACCAGGTCATAAAACTGCTATAAATGTACCAGATTTCCTTCCTGCAATGCAGAAAGCCCTCTTTGTAAGACTTAGTCAGAAACATCAGGAGGATGGAGAACCAGTTGGTCACCAGTCTCAAAGGACATTAAGCAAGGAAGAAGGTAATATCAAATATGATAAGATCTTATTTGTTATGCTTCCTCTGTGACTAGAAAGATCTCAGTCAAAATTGGTTAGTTCTGTTTACCCAGGATTCCCTTCTTCTGCTTAACTCTGCCACTGCCAACTCACTACTCTCTGCCCCATTATAGGTCCCATTTACTGCCACAACTGTGAATCCTTTGAGCAGACACTAAAATGACAAGAGCAGAGGATGATTGGAAAAGGAAGTTGGATGATCATGTAGTGAGGGTTAACAAATGGACAATCCAAGCCTAATATTAAATGGGTCAGAGTTGGAGCAAAAGGCTCTAGGGATGAATGTGAAGAAATAGGCCTTTCTTGTAGTCCCCCTTCAAAACAGTCCAGTTAATCTGGAAATCTAAATGGATCTCCAGTGAGAAGATTGCTGAACAAAGTTATAAGTAGTTCATATACTTCATTTTCTGGGGTAGTGAACATGTAATAATCTCTACTGCTTTGTTGAATATTTGGGACAATTTCCTATTCTTTCTGTATTGTGAGTAAACAAGTGAATGAAAAAACATTTAGTCAGTGCTTACTTTGTGTCAGACTCTGTGCTAAGGGCTGTTGATAAAAAAAAGAAAAAGCAAAATAGTCCTTGCTTTGAGAAGATTTAATAGTCTAATAGGGAAAAGGAACATATATAGGAACTTGGTGGCAGAGAAGGGATGTTTTTACATAACATATTTAAATGACCAAATAAAGCTATATTGCCAACAGGTGATTTCTAGCTGTTTCAATCTTATAGAAACTTCATAGAAATAACAGTAGGTAGCTACTACCTATTTCTCTCCTGTAGAAACTACATGATAATAAATCATCTTAGTCATTTCCTGATAACTCATAGCAAAATAATACCTTATTTACTTGGAATAATCAGATGTTGTAGGGGCTTCATATAATTGAATTTTTTACATAGCTGGATTTCACCCTTTTAGCTTGAAAAATTGACTTTTGGTAGAAAACATTTCAAAATTCAACAGGGCTTCCCTTATAAATAGTATATGGAACATAAACCTTTATTTTTATTTTTCAAGGTCATCATTGTGAATATCAGTGATGGTAGTATGCCAAAATAAAGTAAAGCCTTAGGGGGAAATTAAATTGTTTTCCCCTGGGCTCCTGAAGATTTACTTGCAGTAGTACCCTTACCTAAAATCCTATACTAAGTGCCCCTGATGTGCTTTTTAATTTCTTGTAGCTTCTTTTCTTTAGTTAGGAATCTTCTCCTTTAAATTAATCATCTTCTTAATAATCAGCTTCTTAAAGTAATCACTTCTCATGGTTGTCCATGTGCCTACTAATAGTGCTTTTCTTTGTCCCCACCTTCTAAATTGTGGCTTCTAATCTACTATAGGATGAGAAAATAGATAAACAAGCTTATTTAAATGTATATATTCTTCTAATTTTCTTGTAAGATCTCTCTATATATCTAGGTCATGTATGCATTTTGACCTTATCTTGAGATATTAGCCCATGTCCGGTTCTGCCATGCTGTTTTCCAGTTTTCCCAATAATTTTTACCAAATAATGGATTCTTATCCCAAAATCTTAAGTCTTTATACTTGTCAAATACAAGGTTATTATGTTTATTTGCTGCTATAAATTGTCTGCTGTATTCCATTAATCTACCTTTCTGTTTCTTAGCCAGTACCAGAGAGTTTTGATAATTATTGCCTTATAATACAGTTTAAGATCTGGTACTGCTACACCTCCTTCCTTTACACTTTTTTTTTCATTATTTCCTTTGATTCTTCTTGACTTTTTGTTTTTCCAAATGAATTTTGTCATTTTTTCTAACTCAGTAAAATAATATTTTGGTAATTTGATTGGGATGGTGTTGAATATGTAAATTAGTTTGGGTAAAATTGTCATTTTTATTATATTGGCCCTAACCATGAACAATTAATATCTTTCCAATTATTTAAATCTGGATAATGTTAATATGTGGTTTTCCATGTCAGTATGCACCCATAGGGATCCTTATGTACAATTTAATGGCCTCCATTTCTATTTGATTTTGACATGCATTGCTCTAGAGAAATCATTGACTCTGTTACTATAGTTAGCAACTATGCAACCACATATGTTCACTGCATATGTGTATGTAGTACAGTCTAGTCCCAAAAGAGTACCTTACTCTAGATTCTATTTTTACATTTCCCTCATTGTTGGTTCAGCTTTAAATGAACATTATTACAGAGACCATGAATTTTTTTGAAATTTTGAATTTAAATGTGACCTTTTTTTAAAAAAAATTTTGTTTGTTTTTAGATGATAATGTTAACTGGTATTCCAGTAGTGAAGAAGAAGAGGGAAGTAGTGTCAAATCAATATTGAAAACTTTACAGAAACAAACAGAGACTCTAAGGAATCAACAACAACATTCCACAGAACTTGGTACTCCTACTGATCCAAGACTTGCTAAAGACAAAAATACAGGAAGCCAAGCTGTTGATCCTAGACTTAGGGCTGTCCCAAGACAAAGCTCTAGAAAACCTCCTGATTCTGCCCCTTTTGATCCTAGACTTGCACGAGATCCCAGGAAATTAAAACTTAATGAAAGTGGTCATGCAAGTCCTTCTGTTGGTGGAGGAAAGTTTGACTTACACCATGCAAATTCTGGAGTTAAAGTCAAACAAAAAGGAATAGATGATGAAGAAGAAGAAACAGAAAGAGAGCTGAGAGAAAAAGCTTTCCTAATACCTTTGGAATCTTTACCTGGTGTAACACTACAAGATCCAAGGTCACAGCTTAGACAATTCAGCCATATTAAAATGGATATTATCCTGACCAAACCAAACTTTGCAAAACACATTGTATGGGCTCCTGAAGATTTACTTCCAGTACCCTTACCTAAACCTGACCCAGTTTCATCAATCAACTTACCTCTTCCCCCACTTATAGCTGACCAGAGGCTAAATAAATTACGTAATATAAATAGTGATCTTCATCAAAGTACAATGCCAGCTGATCCAAGATTAGCAGCAAAAGCCAAAAATAATACTACGAGAAGTGGATACTTGGACCAACCTGGAGAAACCCACAGTCCAGGAAATAAATTAGGGGATCCTAGGTTGCAAAAAAATGTTGATCCTAGACTTCATAGGCTGTCCAATACAGACTCTCATCATGGGATTGCAAAGGATCCTCATCCATCAAAATTTGATCCACGTTTGGCCAGACCTAGTCCTGGTTCATCACAGATCTCAGGGGCATTAACTAATAAATCTGAATCTGATTCTCTTCCTCCATATGCTCCTAAACTGTCAGCTTCAACTGGTGTTAGACTGGGAACACCAAGTTCTATTCTTAGTGGCATTAGTTTGTATGATCCAAGGGAACATGGTTCATTGTCTTTATCAGATCCAGCACCACTTTCTTTAGGAGAGAATGGAGAGAACCAGAAAAAAATCAGTGGCTTACAAAATAATGGCAAAAATGAGCCTTCTCCTTCAGAAGCTTTGCAGAAGACCACTCCAAATTTGGAAAAGACTACAGATGGGCCAATTGACCCACAGTCAGATAAACAGAATAATACTGTTAAGACTCAGATTAAACCTGAGCCCCCACACTCCAGTACTGCACCAGCAGTGCACAACCTTCCAATCCAGGCTTTAACAGGATTAATAAGACCACAGTACAGTGATCCACGACAGACAAGACAGCCAGGACAGGTGAATCAAATGCCAGATAATGATCCAAGTGGAGAATCGGATGATAAATCCCTGAAGGATGTTTTTAAGACTTTTGATCCAACAGCTTCACCATTTTGTTAGCAATGCTTTATTAAAAAATTCTTTTTACTGTTGCGACTATTGCAGTTCTCTGCTGTTTTGTAACTGGTTTACCTCTATGCTTTATTTATTTTTAAATTATAATTATCAACACTTTTTCAGCTGCTAATTCCAGAACCACATGCAGTTATATGCTCTAGTGTTTGCAGAGATGTGGTATTTTCTACATATTTTTTCAACTTCAGGGAGACTGTAATAATTGACACATAGAAACAGATGTATCACGTTAGAGCTGATGAAAGCACTTTTCATTGTAAATAAAACATCATGAAGAACTCAGCACTCAACCTGTATATGTGCAAGCTGTCTTTCATAATCAATGTTTAGACAAATAATTGCCACTTTTGTATGATGTATAGTTTTGAGCAATACAGTGTACATTACTTTGAAATAAATATTTCAGACTAAGATCTTCTGAATTTATCAGGCTGACTGAAATATAAACAAATGAAGTAAAAAAAAATCTTAATCCTCATTTTTTAGAGCAATTGATGTTAAAGATATCACTTTTATTCATTGTCAATATTTTTTGTGTGAATGATAACTATGTCATCTACTAAAGCATTTAAAATGTCATATCTTTTCAAAGTATTTTCTTCTATGCTGTATATAAAAAATTGTGAAGTATGTAACTAAAATGTTGTTAAAAGGTGAGAATACTTAAGTTGTCTAATACAAAACCTTTTATTTAATTTTTCACATAAAATAGTTCTGAATTAGTGCTGTAGGTTACATTGTGGTGTTTATGTATTTCAATGTATTTTTGTATTCAGCAGCTTAATTTGTATTGCTTTTTTTGTATTGATGTTACTGCAGTACTTGTATTCATCGTGTCTTCAGCATTTTTAACAAAATTTTAAAAAGATATAGTGGGAGTCTATTAGTGACTATTAAACTGATAATGTTCTAAATGACCAGGTACCGTATTTTTACTTATAATTCTTGGAAAATAGAAACTACCTGAACCGATCTTATACAGAGATTACTGATATAATCAACTGTACACAACTACCAGAGAAGAACCTCTTTTAAATTTAGCCCAATGGGTATTCTACCGTAAAAGGGACTATCTTGTGTTTGAGTATTTAATGTGCTCATGGTTTGTAAATCACCTAAATTGATTAGAAATTGTATTTTTATAAAACCTTGTATTCTTGTGTATTTATTATAGTGTACAAATAATGACTAGCCTATTTGTTTCAAACTTTGTCATGCACATACTGTTTAGAACTGAAAAATAAGTATTACATTGATACTCATATATCCTAAACTAAAGATATATGATAGTGTTTGCTGGTAGCAAATTCAGTAGGTAACTTTGAGAGGAGCATTTCATTATAAAACATAATGAAAGTAAAAGTTAAGATTTTTAAACTTAGCCTAGAAATTGGTCCTCAAATGAAAACCACCACTTTTGCTAAGTAATTTTAAAATTACATGGCTAATTATTTCTGTGGGAACCTGTCACCTTTGTACCTTGGTACTCAGATAGTAGCATAAGGGTTAATATTAATGCATGTACACTCCTTACTTTTTGTTCATTGTTTATTATTGTTTGACCTGATTACGTTTTATACTGAAACTGAGTTGCAGTTACAATAACAAATGTATGTCTATTCCATGATAAGAATTTTTTTTAATGGGAGAAGTGCTATATTATTAAGATGTAAATGTGATTGTCTACTGATTCTCTTTTGATTGCTTGATAGCCATGGACAAGCTCTTTTTGGTTTAAAAAAAAAACTCAGTCTTTAAGCCACTGTGACAGTAGTCATCATATTACAAATTCTGCTTTCCTAACTAAGGAAATAATTGTCTAATAAAAAACACTGAAAAGAGAGTGTAAGATTTAAGTCACATATATTTTAAATATATATATATATATATATATATATATATATATATATATATATATATATATAAAACATTTATTTTTGCGTGGTTAAAATTGAATACTAGTTTTGCTATATTGAGCTTCATGAAGAGCATCGCTGCATTTTTGAAACTTTTAAATTACTTAATAGCGATAATTAGCTCATCCATGTATCTCGACTTCTCATAATATATTTAAATACTGCGCACATTTTAATAATATATAAAAAGATAATATCTGTTGATATGTAAGATAGGATCTAAGCCAGTGGTTTTGATTCCACCCTTTTGAACCTTTCTTCTACTAAAAAGTTATCAGCAGTAAGGATTAACATTCGTGAATGTAAATAAGGTTGCTCAAGTGATGGTTATTTGGACATATTGCATAGGTCAGATTTTGGTTACAGTTTAAAATGTAAGTGAATACATTATATAAAGGATGCTGTAAGTTTTAAAATACATTATTTCACTTATAATTACAGTTTTATTGAGATGTATCTGGCTAAGAAATTGCTTTCTCACACTGGCATGTCAAATGCACTGGCCAACATAGATAATTTTAATGTATTTTTGATATTAATATAACTATCGTTCATTCATTGTGTTTGGGACATTTTAAACAAAATTATAAAAAAAAATCAGGAAGTCTATTAATGACTGTTACACTGAAAATGTTCTAAAAGAACAGGTACTGTATTTTTTTATTTACAACACTGGTAAAATAGATGATACCTGAACTAATCTTATAATAGGGATTGTGGATAAAATCAGCTACCAGAAAAGAAAATTTACTATTCTTATTTTTTTCATTTTATACTCTTTTTGAATGTTTTTTATTAATAATTAAGTTCCCTTAGGAAAGCAGAACTTACAAGATGTGATGACTACTTTAACCTTTTTTCCTCACCAAAACTTCATATGGAGCGATATTCTCTGATGTATAAGCCACTCTATAGGGTCGAGTTGAATGTTTAAGCCATTAGTGTCCCATAAAGCAAATTATACCCTTTTTCCTCAGCATCCATGAAGATTCCAGAGGCAACGAGGAATAGGTTATGGCCTTGAGGAGTGTTTGATTCCTAAGTTTCTCTACCTATACTACTTTATGGCATAATGGTTCTTTTCATAGTTGCACACTTTTGTGCTTTAGTTCTTAGATGGATATAGTTAGTTACCTGTTACGATCAGGATTTTGAACTGAGGTACAAAAGATCATAATTTATTTGGCGACTGCTCTTTCTCAAATCTGATTTGGCTATTACATATAGCCTCAGACTTCTTCTATCTTTGGAAAATTACCCAACTTTGAACTAGTCTCAAGTCTTACCCTAAGGGTATAGGTTTCCTCAAGCTGTAAGCTTAAACGTTTCACACCCCTAGATTCACCGATTCCAAACCCCAAAGTTTTTAATATTTTATTTAAAATGTAGAATGAGACCAAATTTCATGGATAAGAAGTAATGATGTCAAGTTTTCCCAATGCTTCCTTGCATTTCATCTTTTTTAGTATTTCCAGCTTTTCTTACTGTCAGTCCTCTGTATTTGACAGTAAAAAAAAGGTTGATTGGAAAAGAAAGATTCATTTAAACCACCTGTATATTTTTTTTAAAGTGGGGTGGTAGTGTGGCACATCAGGCTGAGAGTTTAAAAATTATAAATTCATATATTGGTTCTAAATGCCCTAAAACAAAAGAATTGACTTTCTATTTCCTCATTTATGAAATAAGGATAATATGGCTGCTCACAGATTTTGAAAGAAATAATGATTATTGTAAAGTATTTTGTAAATAGAAAAATGCTTTTATAAAGCATCATGAAAACGATCCATCTATACCTGCTGGGATGAATTAAGTTGTGCAATTTGGAAAGCAACTTGTGAAGTTTCAATGGTGTATGCTGAAGTTATCATAGAGCCTTCATTCATATTTCTTAAAGTCATAATTGCCTAATAATTTACTTCAATAATTTCAACAAGTACCAGTTTCCTAAATTATAGTTTGTATAATTTATAAACAGAAAAAAATCCTTGCTCCAGGGTTTTCATTGACTTGGGGTGTGTGTGTGTGTGTGTATTAAAAGCGGGACATTTATACAATTTACAAAGCATGATACTGAGTGGTGGAGTTTTTTAATTGTTATAAAAGGCTGCTTCTGTGTGGTGTACTTGGTAATACAAAGTTCGTCTGAGGTAACAAGCTCAATCATTGTAAATTTGCCTATGGCTCTTAGTAACCAGCTTGTCCCATTCTGTGCAGTACATTACTTTCTGTGTTTATGTGAAGCTTGTGATAGTGCTATAAGTATTTCAGAAAGGTAATGTCACTTATATCAGAATGACCATTTGATCAAGCCAAGTATTATTGTCTCTGTCAAATACAGTGAAAGCCATAGATTGCTTAAAAGGTGGGAAATTTCTTGGGCCTGTGACCTTGAGGTCTTAGATACAGTGAGAAAAGGTCTCTCTATGTTTGACACAGGACTCTGTTGGCAAAGCTTGTCTCTTTTCCTTGCACCTAGTTAGTGAACTTACTCCATTCTTGTTATCTTGTTGGAAATGCAAGGACAGGCTCATTATTCAAGTGGTCTTCAAACTATCAAGTCTCTGTGCTTCCTCTGGTAGTCTGCTTTTGTGAACATTGCTGAAATGTAGGTTTTCCATGTTTTTGGCTGCTTTTTATAATCAGCTTGCTGGAAATGAGCCTAAAGTTTTATCTGTTGAATTTCTAGGCCACTAGTAAACTGACATCAGTTCAGAGAAATCTTTGTGTAGTAAACATAATCCATGTGTAGCAAAGAAGGCCTTTAATTGAATATTTTAAAATTACTTCTCTAATGAGAGCCAATGTCATTAGAATACCTTAATCTTTTGAAAGATTTCTAATTTCATCAGTGTGGATTCTCCCTCCCCTGAAGCAGATCCAACTCCACCACATTTCATGAAATTCTGTAGCTGAAAATTTCATTACGTGGTGGACACTTTTCTGATGATGAGCCTTTCTACATTTAGACAGCCTGATACTCAGGTGACAGAAATTCAGTCAACTGCCAGGCCCATACTTAAAGCCTTTCTAGCTTGGTAAGACCTGCTAGAGCATGTGCTTTACTGGAATAGCCTTTGAGAACTCAGGGTCAACTCCATGCCACAGTGAATCATCAGGGTAGGACTTTAGTGGAGGATCTACTATACTTTCCTACAGGTAGCTTAATATGCTTTGCAGAACCAGTCTGAATGGATCCTGATGTTCACAAAACTCCAGTAATGAACATTATGCTTCTTAGTTAGATTTACAGTACTTAACTTGTTGCACCATAGCCTAATTTATCCCTTTGGGCACTTTCTCCTTAAAGGGGTACAAAGCTAAGAAAGGGCTTTTCATCTTTCCTCTCCTTTTGATGCTTATGTAGGATAATCTATGTTTTTAAATAAGAATAAATAAAAAGCACATTTGGAATTAGTTTGTATGTGGCTCAAGGACAGGAAATACATCTGCTATACTTTTTATATACCCCCACAGGAACAAGCTTAATACTGGCCATATTGTAGGTGTTTTATAAATGCTTAATTGATTGGTTTCTTAATGCATTAAACCCAAGGGTTAATGTTGATATTTTATCAGAGTAGTAGGGACAAAATTATTTTATGGCAGCTATATATTCTTGATTATGTTCAAGGGCAAGTTACTTTGTGAAATCTCTTCTCCAGTAAACACAGGGCACCTTCTCCATCCCTACTTTCCCAAAATAAATAGCTTGAATAGTGTAGGTCATAGGGGTAATTCAGTTTCCCCTATATTCTACTTTATGGTACCATATACCTCAGAGAGTACTGGAATGCACTAAAATAACCTCTGGATGATCAGGCAAATCAAGTAGATAAAAATGACTTTTTCCCATTGGTCTTTGAGGGGTTCTTGATATATATGAAAAAGAAACAACTGTAATCATAGATCAGTATTTATGATAAAAATATCTCTTGCCTTTCTTGGGTAGTTCCCCCAGATTTTCTCAAGGACTTAAGCCAGCATCCCTTTAAATTCCTATTTTCCTGAAAGTAAACACTGTGTGGATTAACACCTTGATAGGTAGGTTATTGCGCAGAATAACAACAATCACCATTCACAAGGAATAGTAATTCTC